TAAAAAAGCACTTGGTTTCCAGGGGCATTCATAATGAGGTCCACAGTGTTTAGAACTTAAAATTCTTTTCTTTGTTTGGAACAGTGTTTTAAAGTTTTGTTTTAATTAAAAGACAGTCTTAAAGCATGTTGGACTTCAAAAACATGAGTTTGTTCATGTCTTCTGGACTGAGTAGCCTTCTCCTTTTGATCAAGAGAGCCTGCTCACACATATTTACACATTCGCTCCTGGCACCCACAGCAGGCACTGCTAAGAGCCAAAAGGCTAGCTTGGCTAGTTTTGTATGCTTTTGGGTAACACACGACCAGTACTGAAACAGGTCAGGGGTGGCCTGGAAGAGAGGTTCTTGCAAATAATCATACACTTCATTTTTCCCGAACCAATCTTCTTCCTGAGCTGCTGTGGCTTCCCCTGCTGCACGAGGCTTCTTGGTTGAAGGTTCAAATTCTGGTTCTTCTGCCCAGGATTCTTTCACCTCATTGATCAGCTCACAGACTTTGCCAATGATCTCTTCGTGCTGGTAGGGTGGGACGGGCCGCAGCTTCTGCTGGGGGTCTAAGATCATGGCTACCTTGTGGGCTGAGTGGACCTTGAAGTTCTCCTTCAGCGCTTCCAAGAAGAGGTGACAGAGTTTGCTGACCACCCCAGCATCATTAGCTTTGGAAGTGAATAGTTTCTCCAGTTTGACGTAGGTGGGCAGGACCAGCTGCAGGGTGGGGCGACTCTCGTTGCTCAGCTCGATCACAGCCTGTTTCACCGGAGCCAGGATGGCTGCCAGGTTGCTGAGCAGGTGTTTGTTCAGGTTTTGGATGAGGTTCATCTTCTTGGCCCTGCTGTAGAACTCACAGATCTGCTCATAGCGCTCATGGACCAGCAGCAGAGAGTCAGTGACCGAGTTCCAGCAGGGCGGGGGAGAGCTCTCTTCCAGGGAGCCAAAGGTCTCCTTGGAGAGGCCTGTGGATCCTGCTAGATCTTCACAGACATTCAGGAGCTCGATCACCTCGTGCATATTGCGAGCCTGTAGCGTTCTCTTGTTCAGCACACTCTGCACTACTGAGTTCAAGGCACAGGCCGAGCAGCGCAGGCACATCCCTGCCTTGGAGAAGGCCGAGGAGTTGACCTTGCAGTCCGTGACGTACACCGTCCTGATCTCCGACATCACGAACTCCGACAGCACGTTCTGCACCCAGTGGTGGATAAAATCACCATTGTCTCGAATGTCTACCCCCTTAATTCCCAGGACATAGCTCTTGATGTGGTTCCCTTCCACCTGGTAGGCCGTGAGGATGTAGCAGGAGTCGGGACCGACGCTCTGCGAGTGGCAGGTGACCCCGATGCCGAGGCAGGCGTTGCTGCCCAGGGCACAGGTGACTTTGACCTTCACTTGGTTGTACATCCTAGGCAGATGCTTCAGGGCCAGAGTGTTGAAATTGCCAAGGATTTCGGTGACGGAAAAGGCACCATAACGAGCTCCACTATCCACCAGGGTCTGCGCTAGCTTGATGAATTCCTTCCCACTCACCACGCTCAGCGCCCCCAGGTCAGTGCACATCACCCGCAGGAGCCTCTCGGCGATGTTCTGCCGCTCCTTCTCCGGGATCGCGCTGTTCCCCACCGAGCCGCTCGCTGATGCTGCAGGGAGACACAAGGGGGGAAAGAAAGCACAATATCAACATTGCTCCTCTGCAGCAGGAGAGAGGAGGAGTCACCAAACAATCCTTGGAGACCCCACACAGGTGGGACATGTTGGACAGAGCTCCTTGGTTAGGAGCTGCAGGGACAGGACAAGGAGCAATGGGGAGAAATTGAAAGGGGGAATTTAGATTAGGTATTAGGAAGAAGTTTTCCCTGTGAGGGTGGTGAGACACTGGCACAGGGTGCCCAGGGAGGCTGTGGCTGCCCCAACCCTGGCAGTGTTCACAGCCAGGTTGGCTAAAGCCTTGAGCAACCTGCTCTGGTGGGAGGTGTCCCTGTCCCCTGGAAGGGACAGATAAGGCCAGGACAAAGAGCAAAGCTGTTACATACTGTTGTTGGCATTATTTCTTTGGAGCTGTGGTTTCCACTTTTCCTCAACCACAGGGAGAGGTGACCTGGGCTGGCTGGAGGCAATGTAGTTCTCATTGTCAGCTGTGGGGTAAGAGACAGGGAGGGGTTAGAAGCACAAGATATTAATGCTTAAAGCACAAATAAGGGGAAACTACCCATCTGCTCAGCATTTACTCATGGTTCCCTTGGCTAAGGTGCCAACAGCCTCTCTGTAGCTTTTAGGCAGTTTTCAGTGAGCTGGTACAGCACCTTGGTGACTCTGAAAGTGTCTTTGGATTCACAAACTGTCACCTCAGGAATGTGGCTCTTTCTGTGCATCAGGGACACTGATGCCATCAGCACACCTTGAGAAATGCCACCTCATCAGAGGAAGCTGCACCTCAGGAGAAATGGAAGTTCTCTGCACAGCCTGACCTGTGCAATTCCCTTGCTTCTGAAATGAAAGGAGGTGGAGCTGACACTGATCCCTCTTTTCCCTTCCTGCCTCTTCCTGCACTGCAGGTGGCTGCCCTGTGCTTTCCTGTTAAGCACTTGGTTTTTCAAGCTGTGCTCAACTCCTCTGGATCTGAGGGTCATATTATCATATCTGGTTTCCTCCCCCTGCAGAAAGCAGGTCAGTCTGGGCTGCTCACTGCTGCCTCAGACTGCAAACACAAAGCCAAATAGCCAAGTTTCTGGAGTGTGACCAAAGCTCATCCCACCCTATGGTTGCAAAGACACCAACTACCCTCCAAGGCTTTGTGTTTGTGCTCCCAGTTCTGTGTTTGTAACTGGGCCACTCTGGCTGCCAATCTGATGGGATCTTACATGGAAATGCAGGCAAGAGGACTGAATTCTGTGTTGCATCCATATTCTTCCCTCTACTGTGCCCCAAGAACTTCTCTCGATTCTCCAGAGGAAATTTTCTAGTTCTTAGTATAGTAATTGTGCCCTGAAACAGGCTGGGAAGCATGGTGAAAGTGCACAATGTAATGAGGTGGAAGAGGAGGCAGAAAGATGGAGACTGATGACCAGGCTGGACAGAAGGATGGAATTAAAGCCAAAGAAAAGAGAACAGGTCCTTTGCTCATCACAGCTGGACTCAACTCACTTAATTTCGACTATCTCTGTTAGACACATGTCTCTTCAAAGCAGCCCCTCAGAGCTCCTTTTGCACTCAGTGGTGCTGAACAGGCTCATGAGTGTAACTCATTCACACAGGCACAACTAGATCCTCTTGCATTATAAGATCCATCACGCTCTGAACTCACCTGGAGTCACTAACTTCTCCACTGATGATAAAGGGAGACATAGTATCATAGTATGTTAAGGGGTTGAAATGGACCTCAGAGATGATCCAGCCCCAACCCCCTGCCCCGGGCAGGGACACCTCCCACCAGAGCAGGTTGCTCAAGGCTTTAGCCAACCTGGCTGTGAACACTGCCAGGGTTGGGGCAGCCACAGCCTCCCTGGGCAACCTGGGACAGGGTCTCACCACCCTCACAGGGAAAACTTCTGCCTAAGATCTAAATTTCCTCTTTCGACCTCAGAGATGATCCAGCCCCAACCCCCTGCCCCGGGCAGGGACACCTCCCACCAGAGCAGGTTGCTCAAGGCTTTAGCCAACCTGGCTGTGAACACTGCCAGGGTTGGGGCAGCCACAGCCTCCCTGGGCAACCTGGGACAGGGTCTCACCACCCTCACAGGGAAAACTTCTGCCTAAGATCTAAATTTCCTCTTTCTAATTTGTAACCATTGTCCCTTGTCCTGTCCCTGCAGCTCCTAACCAAGAGTCCCTCTGCAGCGTCCCTGGAGCCCCTTCAGCTCCTGGCAGGTTGCTCT